ATTTCCCCGCTGTTTTTTGACCTGTGTGTTTTTTTTTTTTTTTTTTTTTTGCTGCTGCTGGGGATCTAACTCGGGACCTTGCGCTTAAGAGAGGCAGGTGGCAGAACCACTGAGCTAAATCCCCAGCCTGTAGGATGTTTTTAAAATTTCAAACACAAACGTGACCACGAAGTAAGAAACAGATGTGTAGCTGAAAATGTTGGGAGGTGAAACACGAGTCCCTAATAACAGAAGAATAAATGGGCAATGAGTCTTCATTTTGATCTATTTAAAAGTGCTTATTTTTGCAGGTGGTTAACTTTTAGCTTGGACCCCTGAAGCCAACTTTATCTATTCTCTGAAGACCAAGGCCCTAAACGGCATCTGCTGATCTTCAAACCCTAAATGAATGACCAGAAAACAGAGGCCTCATTGAGGTTGTTGAGGGGAAAAGTGGGAGACCTAGAAAAATGAAGGCCAACCTTGGTTTTAGCCTTGAGTCTAAGATAAAATTCCAAGGAAACACCTTTGCAAGGGTTCAGGTTTTTTTTTTTTTTCTTAAAGAAAATGCAGGATATTTAACCAAACATTCACACCCTGGGACAGTCTTATATACATTACAGCTGATGGCACCTCTCCCTCTCACTGCAGTTTTCCTCACCTGTGAAAGTACCTGGAGGATTTGGGACACTTGGGCCCAGCAGGCTACAGAATTGTAAAAGCCACATACAGCCGGGCCGCCCCCCCCCATCACTGCCTTAAATTCCAAGTCTTCGTTTGTGGGAATGATTCAATTTTCATTGTGAAAACACAATGGTGGTGCACAGCTGTGATCCCAGCACTCCAAAGGCTGAGGCAGGAGGATCTCTTCGAGTTTGAGGGCAGCCTGAGCTACATAGTGAGACCCTGTCTCAACAAAACAAAACAAAAAACAAAAAACCCACAATACCTTAAAAAGACTGTCACCAAATACCAATAATATTCAGAGAAGGGTTAAAATATCAAATCAATGTACTGGTACCTAGCAAGTGAATGAATCTAACAAGTGAATGTGCAAAAAGAATAATAACAATCTTTTCAAGTTGCTCTCTGCACTCTTTCTTCAAACCCAAATACCTCTCGTATATTTCACGAGAGCCTGAAAATACATGTATAAAATACATTCTTAAAGACTAGAAATGGCACGTCGCATCTTCGATTTGACCAAGATGAACGGCAAATACCTATTCACCATCATCGGTGGAAGCACCCTAAGCGCCAGTTACTTTGTCACAGTGACATTTTGAGGGAGGCCCTGGCCGAAACAAAAGCACAAATACAAGAAATAAGCACAAGTGTCGAGCAGGGGAGAGAGAGCCAGGTTTATCAGAGGGTGATGGGGAGAGCACAGCCCCGCGTGCCCGGACAACTACTCTTGCGTCTGCTCTGCCCGAGGCGACGGCGGGCGGCGCTGGCACCGATGCCCCGGTCCGCTCCGGCCC